TTAATGTTATACGATGATGAATTTATTGGGAATTTAAGAGTACCGGTTGCAAGGTAGAACAGCACTAAGCGATTTAGGCGTGTGATTGTTATAGCAAGTCAGGGTTTAGAATATGGGGTAACTGAAGGTTTAGGACAATCTAGATTAAGGGTGTATTTGTACAGGCATTAGTTTAATAAACCAGTTAGCTATGAACACAATTTACAAATGTTTCAGTATTTACCAAACAATAAGATCAAACTAGATTAGGACACTGTTAAAATCATTCCAGCTTATATTGCAGGGTCGCTTTAATGATGTAAGCTAATAAAATTTTGTAGGAGATCATAAATGTCTCTAGTTAGTCATCTATTTCACTGATCTCATAAACCAAGCAAAGCTGTATTTCTGCTTAACTATTTTATTTAAACTGAGTCTTTATTTTGACAATTTTCGTTTGACGATGGCTATTGTCATGTACTGTATCATTTCTCAAATAAATGATAGTGACTTTATAGAATTCAAAAGACGAACACAGTAGTAACTGTTGTTAATTAACTTTACTGAATTCTTTGTTAGTGTATGTATAGGTACATAAGTTATTACCTGAAACTCTAAAACTTCAGTGATTCCACCCAGTTAAAAACTCGAGATTATTTGCTTTATAAATTACTTAATAGTTAGATCATTGATTGATATGGATTTAAGTTGAATATAACATATCATTAAACCTGAACATAATCTATCTTATATTTAGTTACTTAATTTCTAGGTGTATTATTAATTTAATCTGATTAAATAATTTTTTTAATTGTTCTGGCATGGATTTTTATAGTTACTAGAGTATTGATCAGAACTATCAACCATTCAATCTGATTGACAGATATTTACTAATTAGTTGGGGTATGAGTTCATGCTGAAAGCGAAATGCACTACAAACGTATAAAACTTTCTGACTTAAGATCATTCTGATTGACGCTTTGCTATTTACAATGTCCACTTACAACATCCTTTGACCTGAAGAAACAATTTAAAATAGTTCATGTATTGCCAGTTTACGTAGACTAGTGATTGTACTGACAAGATTGGTAGAATTCGATCAGGACAAAGTGATCAACAGGCGTCACATCGATTACTACTCAATGACCACCTAGTGCGAAACATATCAGGTCACTTGTCCTTCAAATAACCCACTAGTAGCATCTTAGATTATGAAGTTGTAATATCCTAGATATAAGCATACAGAGCGCATAGGTTGCTGATAAACCTTTCTGAAGAGTATCAACCTAATTAAAATCTTACTTCAGGGCTTCCGTGCAGTCGCTTCCAAATACCCAACATAATTTAACATCGTGTATGCTCAACTCACTTAAAAAAGTATTGTCACTGAGAACAACTGTATCTGGCACATTTTTTCATATTCTGATATTTTTATTATCCATGGTGTAGTGAGCAGCAAATGAAAATGTAAACGGAAACCACCTATTATAAATAGAGATGTAACTGGATGACAGAAGTGATAGGATTAATTTATTAGTATTAATACATTCTGAATCACATTATTTTTGGCTGTTTACGGTCGCAACACAAATATATATATTTCTATTTGGGAATTGTGCTAATAAGTACATTTGTTTTACTGAGAACTGTTATAAGTTGAAAAAGGATGGACCACAAACGAATACAACATGGCTACATCATGCGCTAGAACTTTCCCTTGGTACTCAGCTGCTACCTAACACAGGATAGAACCCCTGATTTTCAGATCTAAAGGCAAGTACAACACCAAATAACTGAGTTTGTTTCCAATGTTCATGAATTTCGAATTTCAAATCAAAAGCAGTGTTCAATGGGGTCAGTGATAAGTTTATATCTCACTCTCTACTTCGTTGACTTAATAAAGTACGAATAATCTATCTTGAATTTCTGAAATATTTGAAACGGAATCAAAAATGACAAGCAACAAAAATTTTGAAAATATCAGTCAGAAATCTTAATCTCATGCATGACTTGTTTTGCCTGTTTTGAGACTATAAATATTCTTTATCTATAACGAATCCCTAAGATTCAGAAACCTTCAAAATGGTCACTTTCATTTACTTCTCAATGATAATTATAAGTAGAGGAGATATCATTTAAAGTATCAAACTTTATTCAAAACATCAGATTATTTTGTGATTATTTTATTTTTCTGTTTTAGACAAAATGAATTCAAGTATAAGCTTTCACGGGTCACTTGTACTATACTACTTATAACTACTGAATTCTATCACAACAGTAATTACCTACTTCTATTCATTGTAAATAATCCTACGTATTAGACTTTATTGTAAAAGATCGTTTATCACTAAAGTAATTATCTAATTCACTACTTATATTACTTATTAACATTCGGAATATTTCAATTTAAACATCCTGTATCTCGGAGATTAAATGATTCCAATAATTAAAAAAATTATCATACAATATGACGTTCTTTAATTTTTGTCACTCATCACAATGACTTAATTATTAAAATCATTTCAAACGATACATTTAATATGTAAAGTAAATGATTTAGCTAGTTGTCATGTGCTTTATTTTCTAACAAACCCTAATAATTATAGTAGTTATGCTGATAAGTGCACAATATTCTATCCAAAAAAAGAAAAAAATTGATTTGAGTCAGGTGATTGAACTGTAAGGCTAAACTTATTCCATTCACTAAACGTTAAATAATATGTGAATTAATAATTTGGGTACTGAGAGAAGATGATGATTAGCAGATAGGTATCATAAATATTAATAGTTATATTGATTAGTTGCTTAAAAAAAAGAAAAAAAGAAAAGATGTTTGATTACTTATTATATTCAAAGGATGATATTACTGAAATACTGAATAAATCTAGAAAAGTGACTTTATAATATAAAATTCTTATTAGAACAGATAAGAATGATATGATGTTACACTAATTTCTGTGAACTTTAGAATAGACATAAGTCATGTTTCTACTGCTCCAAATGAATAGAAATATCACTTAAATAGTTTAGCTTGACATATCTATTAAAACTAATTAGTTCACATGATAACTAAATCAGTTTTGAAGTTATCATTTTGATACTGTGATAGGTATATTCATTCACAGTTACGTAATTCCTAGTGATATGGTCTACAATATAACTAAATTTAAGTCTCACTTTCTTGTGCTCGTTATCATTCAAAATTTGTGGTACTATGGCAGAATTTAGTATAGTTAGGAACTTGGGAAGTCAAGCTAATTAGAAATGCGATCATATGTTTGTTGATATCTCCAAAAACACTCATGTGTCCACTTTTCTAAATGATGATCATTCTCTAGAAGTAAATAGATTTTTACAAAGCTCCTCAACCATAATTGGTATTGAATACCAGTAAGTATTGCATAATTTACATTTGTAATGCATAATTCTCATTAGTAAATATTCATATTATATCTCTACAAAAATGTAGCCGAAACAACTTATTCATGGTAAAATTCAGCTTGTTCCAATGATTATGACTAATTTTTAATGGAGCGGAATATTGCCAGCTTCATGAAATATCATGTCAAACCTTAATGTAATAGGAAATTAACGATGGATATAATTTTAGTTATTTGAAAACTGATCCTACCAATTGGCGATAGTTCCATAAGCCAACATTCATACTAGATTAATATTATTCAATAAATTTTCATTAAATGGTTGTGTAAATCAGAAACAACTGAAAAATGTTTTTATTTTGAGACTGATTGAAATGTACAGATAAACTGATAAGGACATAATTCAGCAACAAAGGTACTATGTTTTGTCCTAACAGACAGTATAAGGCGGTTTCCAAATCCTGAGGCTCCCCATCAGTTACCTTATGCTTACTTCTCGTCATTTTTAAAATTATTATTGTTGTTATTATTGTCATACTAGTTGTTAATATTTCATAACGGTTCTTGTAATTTCATCCTTTTACATTTGAACTTCACTTCAGATACGTTAGTCGAACTAGAGTTAATAAAACAAATCTTTCAACTCTAACAAGGACCTCTACTAAGGACGTATATGACCGATTCATCAAAAAGATATTCAAATACATAAATTCTAATTACTTTGCCAACAAATTTAATCGTTTTGTCTTCCTATGAAGTGATTTACATTAGCAGGTGAACAACTGTTTCAAGCTGAAAATGTTAAATCACCTTTATGCTAGAAAACTTTTAATGACTTAGTTAATATAACATGTTAAATCCACGTTATGCAACAAAATACTGCAAAATACCTTTACATAATACACAATCGGTGTTTTTCGTTTCCAGAATTTAAATTTTAAGCTTGATCATATATAGGATTGATTTTATTTTAGTCTTTTTGCGTGTAAGCAAGTTGCACAGTCAACTTGATATTATGATATCGTGCTTTCCGAGATTTGTTTTGTTACAATATTGACTAGTCAGTTGAATGTACAACTCTGTCAAATGACTATGCAAACTGTGATCGTACAAGCTTACTTCTACGAAATTAAGAACATATCAGGCTTATTCCCTTCAAAATACTATGTGAGTAAATGTAAATCTATCGTTTCGATGTTTTTGTTCCCTAAAATATTTCCGAAAATTTTCTGAAGTCAAGCTTAGTAGAAGCCATATCGTCCTCATCATTGTCCCGGTCCTCAATAAAATGGTTTATACTCGCAAAAACATCTGTTACTTTTCAATATATTCTACTTATTAGTTCCTTTCAGCATTTCATGAATTGCTTAATCAATACTGGTTGCATATTGATCTCCTTTAGTAATTTTCATTATTTTTATACTGGTTTATTCAGGATACAACTGTGTTAAATTGAACATAAAATGGTCTATTTGAAATTGACTTTGATCAAAATACTCTGGCATATCAACAGTTGCAATTTACGGTGTGATGTTTAAACATGTTCGATGTATATAGTTACGTGTGAGCATGAACACTTTCATACTGTTTGGTGTGTCTAATTATCATTGTTAACCAATCTGTTCATTTTTTTATTTGTAGAAAAGATAACTTACACTTCATACCACTAAAATAAAATGCTTGAAGAACTATATATTGATGATTTAAATGGTGTGCGCAATGATAATAAAACAGGAAACTGGACTTCATCCAATGATCGGAGTAGATTATCACGTTATCGTGAAAGTTATTGTTCTGATGTGGATTTATTGCCCTTACTATGCACAAAAGTAACAGTTGATATTCATCAAGATAATATTAATAATAGTGATTTTATTCACTTGGCTCAGAAAAACTATAAACCATTAAAAAATAGTGATGGAGTGAAGACTAAGTCAGTTAACAATAACAGCGGCAGTGACGATAGGAGTGATGATGATTATGATGATGACGAGAATCTTATGAACTGGTTACTGAAACAGTTTAGAGAGAATGGTTTAGATTACAATGACAATAACTTAAAAAATGATGACTTGGGGAATTTTGATGCATTAAACTATGTGAAGCTATTAAATCACAAAACATCAACTATTCCACATAGTCTACAAATAGATGGTTCCAACTCATCTATTTCAAGTTATCAAGCTACAATCGATTCAAAAAAATCAAAAACACAAAATGAGCACTTATTGAATAATAATAATTTTAGTAAAAAACAATGTGGGCATAAACAATATCATCATTTTCCTCGCATGTATCCACCTGTCAGAGATTCATCAATCGAGTCAAGAAAGTTGGGCCAAAGGAATAGATCAAACAATTCAATAGTGACAACAGTTGCAACAACCACAACAACGAACCCAGCTATTGAATCAGGGAATTCAACTATGCTGAAAACAATAAACGATACAAAACACCAATGTGAACTTATCAATGGTTTATTTCATCAAATAACTAAAAAGTTGGTAAGCAGTTTTGTGAGAGCGTTTACACTTTAATATCTTTTTCTTTTTATAGAAAATTAAACTTGACATTGGGAATTATTGAATTATTTTTCTTCTAGATTGAGAGTTTTGTAATGATCAATTAGGACTGAAGTTGACTTTTACCAGGCATTCATATCAAGTGACTGACCATTAAAAATTAAGGAGTGGTTGTAAATTGTTAAATCTGAATTGGCATACATCACGGTAAAAGGAATCGAGTCCAGAATATTCTAGTCTCACCTCTTTTTTAACACAATTGAATCGCAATCCAGTTATTTGTATTGGGAACTTCATTTAATTCACACTGTTGTGTGACATAATTCAATTCTATTGGTTCTATTTAATAAGTCATCATTTTATTTATAAGTGCGGCCTGCTTGAATCCCTGGGCTACCTGTTTCTGCCATCTAAATATTTCAACAAGTTATCTGGGTTTTTTAAAAATTGGTTTTAACCTATCATTATGTCTCTTGATCGCATAACCTATACAGGCGCGTTCATGAAAAGCTTACATCCTTTCGCTGCAAAAATTACAAACAAGTACAATAAGAGACATTGTGGTGTTTGGCAATATGCTTTAGAGAGAATAAACATTAATCAAATGTCGATTCCCAAGCTGCTTAACTCTAACTGTCGATCTCTAATTAACAAGGTGGACTATCTCCAATTTCTGCTAAGTCAAAACATGTATCGTAATTGTGGTGTCATCACAATTCAAGAATCTTGGTTGACTGACTTACAGGATGATTGCCTAGTATCATTACGTGATCTTAATATCTATCGTCAGGATCGATCAAACAATAAAAAGACCTGTGGTGGCGCAGTAGCTACTGGGTTTTTTTTGTTTTGTGTTTTTTTTTGGTAAAAAAACTTGTTGAAATAACTCGTGCTGAGAATTCTATATTGTACCAGATTATAATATTGAATAAAGCCATTATTTATTATTATTATTATTATTATTATTATTATTATTAAGTAACACTGACTCATGCTGAAGTTCACTTCTTAAGATAAACATCGTTATCATTTTTAATGGACAAATTAGACGTAGAAAACGGATCAATTACTAGAAAGTGAGGTGTCTTAAGTTGTTAGAGGTTCTGATTCCTCTGACAATTCATGTTTTGTTGTGGATTCTGGTAATGAAAATTAAGAATTTTGGAATAAATACCATTTCTTCAGTATAGACTTAGGATCTTATGTAAAACGGGGTAATTTTCAGTTCATCTTTATGCTCTTCTTTGATTGGTAGTTTCATATTAATGGAGGATGCTTCCCCATTACACCAGTGACGACAAGCTTAATGTAACTTATTTACTAACTGAGGGTTGATGTACAGTATTCTCAGTAATAACTTTTTATGAATGTTTGTGGAATTAACTAGACACCCAGATTGTAAGAGCTAGATTAAATTTGAAACTATGATATATTGGTCAAAGGCGGTAGTGCTTTGACCAGGCCTTATAATTTCAGATGTTTATCAATCCACCTAAACGTCTAATGGGTCTGAATAGAGATAACAGAGTAAGATAAATTTTCATGTATCCTGATGTTGCATATTTGTTTATCATATAAGTTGTGACTTCCTGACGTCTTTGAATCTATTATATGCCTAAAATGTCATCATTTCTTTGATTTTGATATAAGGATTATAACTTATTAGAACTCCATTTATTCAAATGATAAACAAACAGCTGAACAATGACACTTTATATTTCAAATGATGATTGAATAAAAATACTTTCTGTCTAATTATTAATAAATTTACTATCATAAACAAACTTTATTTCACCTTAGTTATATACATTGGTGTCTGTCTGTTAGATTCATTATTGACACATTATGGTTAAATAATTTCCTAAATAGTATCATATGAAGTTATTTCGATTAGTGTTCTCGCTTCTTGTGAATTACGAATTCATTTCTTCCTGTTTTAGATTTTGTCCTGAAAAATGTTAACGATGATGTATTCACTTTCACTCTATCGTAGATAGATATTAAGTGATGCACACTGGTATTTAATAGATTTATTTTTGTGCTATCACTAGGCTAAGGAAATAAGAAGTTAGCCTTCATCACATGAATATATCATTCATTAGATGAACTAAACGGTTTAGGCTTTGTCGGGGAATAGAAAACGATAGGGTTCCAAAATGTGACTAGGAAATGAACCTACGATATTCAGCTTTGAGATGAGCATCTTGCCTTTAGACCACTGAAAAGTGACTTGGAGACGGATTTCCAAGATTTTGGTAAAATTTTGTTGTCAGTGAAGATAAACCATGATGAATATGAGGTATTGGTTAGACTGATGGAATTTGTTAATTATTGTTTACTTAAATAAAGTTTAAAATTTCCACCTATAGATTTCTTTTCAGTTATTAAAATATGTTTCAGTGTGTTGGACATTTGAAGGATAATGATTTAACCCCCAGTAACTTGCTGTGGAGGATTCATTGACTTGGAAGAAGCAAGTGTGGTTAGATTTCTAGCTGATGTCAATCTGTGACTAAAAGTATATTCATTCACTAATTTTGAAAAATAAAGGGAATAAAAGTTAGTATGTAGAAGGTTCTTATATATACTTGATAAACATAAGTGGAATTTCTCGAAAACAGTTTCGTAAATTCAGTGAAAAAAAAGATAAATAAGTGAATGTTATTCTTCTGTTTTCTAACAAATGACCCATCTTATGTGATGAATCATTGGAAATAGTTTTGCATTTTTTGGCAAGTCCACTTTTTTCATATATATGTTTGTCATTACCTAATGTAATCTAACTGCTTCTCGTTACCGATGTATGTTGACAAATAGCAAGTGTGGTGGCAATAGTGAAACATGGATCTGTTTGTGAACGTGTGACTAAGTATGATAATGACTCACAAGACCTAAATTGTTGTTTTAGATTTCTGCTTAATTACATAACAGAATCATCATAAAGACTTTGATGGATTATTTCCGGAATATTTTCAAATCAGTTCATTTACGAGTGCTGATGCTGTGAATAATCAATAAGATATTTTGTCCTACCCTATCCAATTTATATTTTCATCGTTTTAGAAAAATGTAGGTTAGTAGTTATACCAACGGGCACAGTTTTAGTTGTCAAACTGACTATTCTAATTTCAGATTTGTTCACAATAATGAAGGATAATAAGCTCAAAATAAACTTCCAAATAGATTGTACCACAACAATGTCTTAGATTAAAACTGTTCACATTGTTGGACAAATCTGTGTATACATTAAAAATTAACGCTTTTTTCGAGGCAATAGTTTGGAGAATGTACAAAGTGGAGTAGTACATGAATGAGTACCGTTTTAGTTTCTTGCTTATCTTAGATTGTGTACACCTCCGGACGTGAAATCAATTACCAGAAGTCTAGTTAGTCAGTTGTTACAACTAAGGATTGTAGAGAAGCCCCAGGTTAGTTTTAAGAAAGATTGAGAAGTTTGAAATTTTAATAGTTTGCAATCCAACTTATTTCTGAGGTCCATAAATAGTTTTAAAGAAAACAACTGACTAGCTTTTTATCTCTTCCAACCCTTAAGATCATAATGACTGATTTTTCAAGACAGTTTGCTTCACTCACTAACTTCAACCATTGAGAAGAAGGAAGAGCTGAAAGTTGTTGCGCCTTTGGTATCAATACCAAACCATAATCTCTCTGGACTCATGATCCTCAAGCTGTTAAAAGTAGACCATTGAAACTATACCGTATCACCAGTGATATCGTTCTTTGTTTATGCTTGATCTTTGTTAGTCATATCTCATTAAAGCTGAGAGGAATTTTCTCATAGGCGTTTTAGTCTTAAATAGAATACTGCCTGTCATCTTTTATATTTATATGCTTTTGCATGTGATACTTAGTAATATTGAAAAGTGCCCTAAATTGAACTAACTTGAACTAAAATTTCAAGTCCGGTGATTTTAAGTTGAATTTTTCGTTAAGTACGAATTCACCAATCCAACTCTAATCTGTATTTGTTTATCCTTTTTTCTAAATGTGACATTGAAATTAAATTAATAACTTGAAAAACAAATGGAAACTAGTTTACAGTTAGTAATAATAAGAATCAGATGAGATCTGGATTTCAGTGAATTTCGTCATCTAGATTCTTAAGATTTAAGGTGGAAGAAAATGTGATAACAGATTTATTAAAAATTAAACCGACATAGAATAACATAAAGGAAGTTTTCTTTTTTAACTGTTACTGTTGGATAAATCAGACGAATGATACTTCTTGTAAATGACTTTTTCTTATGATGGAGCAAAAGTATAGGACGGAAATATCAGTAAATAAAACAGATTTTTTAAGCAAAATTACTTTAACTTATTTCTAGCTCATGTTATCCAATTCTCCGCTTATAATGTTTTGTTCAGAGTAAAAAAAACAGTCAAACTGTTGTATCATAAATCTTTGAATATTCCATAGACTAGCTAGTTATAAAAAAAACAGAAATTATCAAACCATACGAACAACAATGTTAATAAGCATGACAATAAACTTGGAAAATAAAAACACAAAACATCACCTCCATCTTCACTGAAGAAAACTGCTAATTATTCAATGTTTATTCGCTTAATGTTGTTTAGCTCAATCCTCTATATGATACAAACATATAAACAGATAAGAGGTGTTAGTAATAATGATGAAACCATTGAATTTGTTTTTGAATTATTCTAAAGAAATCTGCATTTAAATATAAGAGTTCAATTCACTTGTTTTTTTTATTCACTTAACCTGCCGCTCTGATGTATATACATATATGTATATATATTGAACAGTGACCGGTATCTCAGGGTGGGGTAAACATTTAAACTCAGTTACGAATGTGCGTACTAGACTCCAGATTGCCATCAATTCGTATGAGCTACCGATATTGTTAAGATTTTTTGTAGATGATGAATTCACATTGCAATGGGTTGAAGTCAGTTTTTTTGATCACCTAAAAATCTCTCTAGTTATATTTCATTACTGTTTGATCACTTTATCTACTGTTTATATTATAAATTCTGTAAATATAAGGGAGATGTTTATTGGCTCTTGAAAATCAATGCATACCGTGAATGCCGCTATTTAAAAGGAAATTAACTTTAAAGACTGTTTTCTGAATGACTAATGTATAGTAAATCAGGTGAGTTGGAAATAATTAACTCTTTTAGTAAAGCAGTTCAGTTAATCTAGTTTAAAAATAGTAATAATTCATAGGAGTTATATCTATCACAGGAGAATTGACTCAACCTATAACTCTCTTGAATAACTGTAATGGTTCTCATTATAAACTGACATCATCTAGAGAGCCAGGAGTATAAGACAGTTTAAAACGTTTATTATTTCCCAATCATTATCAAAGTGTGAACAGACTCCAGGATGATTTTAAACAGATGTAATGAAGTTTAACTATCTAATATTCCTAGTCTAGTCTGTTTGGGATTCAGAGCAATATCCTGAGTTAATATTCGATTTGAGTAAATATCTCGGTAATGTTTTTCTGTAACTTAACTAAATCTATTTCAGATCAGTTGCTAACGCACATATCATTATTATTTTTATCCAGTGAAATACTGGATTCCAGCTCATTAGTTTGTAAGTACTGTTGTTGTCACCACACTTTTAAATCCTGCTCCCAAACTAGTGTGAACTTGTATTTCTATAATACTACGGAGTCTCAATCTAGCTGTTCAGTGTTGTATGGTTTTCCTTACTCATGTCAGTTAACAACTTTAGATATCATATCAAAATTTATAAAACTTTACATAAAACACGTCAATAGATTACTACGTATTCGTCTTCTTAGTTCATTTATCCCATTCCTTCACATATATACTTGACAATTTTCAAAAATCCACCCTTTAATGCTGGTACGTTTAAAGCATACACAAGTATAATAGGCTGTGCATAATCTCTTAGAACGCTAGCTTGTTTTGATATGTTCCTCCACTAGTACGACTGTGATTAAGGTATCTATGTTTAACTACTAATGGAATTCAATAAGCAATCTGAAGTTTTACTGCGTAAAACATGTGAGACATAAGTTCTTCCAAATAGATGTGTAAATGAGTACTTAACAATTCTCTTAACTTACGCTTTTTTTAATGTACGTGTAATTTGATACGTATGTATTGATCATGACATATAGAGATTTCTATATTTGCTTGAACTAATTTCTACGTGGAAAATATACTACTAAGTGCAAATCTGTAGCTCAAAATGTAAACATTTTATGATCAGCAAAAAAATTGGAACCAAAATATGAAACAGTAGAAGAATTTATTTGAGAATGTTTACAAATAAATCTTGTGGTGAGCTATGTACAATGACTGAAGTGGATAATTCTGGGATGTATGCTTTCATTTAAAACAGCATTCAGGGGTAATCAGAAGCTGTGCACTTCATTTTTAGCTGATATAGCAGTACAAACCATTCAATAATACCTAACAAAGGTAGAAAAAGTATAAATCACATGTTTTTATCTGTATGTACCAATTTATATGTTGGTCAAATATGTTTACTTAGCGAATGAATATGACCTTTGATTTTTATCGCAGCACTGATAATGCGAACATTAATTTTAATGGCTAATAGAATATATTGAAATGAATCTACCCTTAAATTATAGCCATTCAAAACTTAGCAAATGAATACAAAACATATGAATTAGTCGCTGTTCGCTAATTCGTAATCGATGAAGTGATAAAGTTAGTAAATCAGGAAAATTTATGATGAATAGTAGTCTTTGGTCAGAAATTTACACATTGCAATATCTCGTGGTAATTTAAGAAACATAATATTTACTTCCTTTAAATAGTAAAATATTTTGTAGTCCCTTAACAACTGAATGGTGTAGCGTTAACTACTTTCAAGTTCCGGTTTCGAACTTTGTTAGAGTTATTTGGTGAACATTTCTGAGGAATCCTGTGTTCACTAAAGTCGGTTCGTGAAAATTCAACAATCGTCGTGACATTAATTTAAGTACATATTTGATCAGTTCAGAAAAAGGAAGATAAGAAGTTTGTCTTTTCAAGCATTGGTAAACTGGAGTCATCAGTGACCACACAAAAAAATGGGAACGTCATTGTCTGTTATTGATATACAATTGATGATCAACGTCTTTTCTTGAGATGTCCAAGATCTACTTCAACCTCCTTCCATTTCTCATGTTTGTGTGAGGATGTAATCATTTAAATCTTGTTGTTTATTATCCAACGATCTCTCTAGTCACGTTAGATCGACTATTACATTAAAGGTACCCTTCATTGTCGTTATATTGAATCTGAACTTATATAACTTACAACATAAAAGTAATTAGATATGCTGTGTTTTTTATTCATTCTATAGATTTTCATAACTGTAAATAATTAATTTGAACCATTCTGTTTATTAACCTCAATTTTAGACTTGTTTACATGAATTCGACGAACAAGTTATTAATCAACTTCAAAATGCTTGCCAAATCATAAATGATTTACAAAAAACAGTAAAATTATCCGAAACTTCACTATTGAATTCTTTGCATTATCAATTAAATGAACATTTTTGTCAACCTAAAATATTCACATCAGAATCTCATAAAACTACAAATAGTTTTAAAAAGAGAACTGGAGTGAAAGATTTTTCTAAAAAGAAAAATCATAATGTAGATGGAAATATGAAAATGTCGATCGTAAATGAACAAGAGTCACATTCAGCATATAGTCCAGAATTATATTGCCGATCACCTGTGGAAAAGGTTAGTTGATATATATTTTGCGAGATTGTTATTTTCCAGATGATACGGCTTTATGGTAGTTTTTTGTGGATTATTATAATGGTAATTTCAAATATTTGAGTAATCCAGGTGAATGTTTAAATCATAGATTACTATTCAGTAAGAAGTTCTTCCGAAACCTATTTTACACAATATAAGAGAATTAGTGCCGACTTCGCTAAGTAACCACGTGTTATTTTAATGTTACACTAGTAGACATTTCCAAAAGTAGAATACTTACGTTGCCTGTTTATGATCGATTTTTATGTCGTTAAATAAGTTATTTTAACTGAAACATTGAACAGTGTATTTACTAAAATCAATAACCAATCATAATAAGTTTTTCCGATTCCGGATTTTTAATGCTAGGAATTAAATGATCACTGAACACAACATCATTTAACTTTCAATTTTATTAGCTTTTCATCATTTATTGGTGAAAATTATCCTTACATTAGTTTTCTTTTCGCTTTTCAAATGGTTTTACCAATGTAAAACAAACGAAGGTATATCATATGAAAATGAAGAGATAAACATTTGTTAAAAAATCATAACTTTCTGTTTAGTTTGGTTTATTCATCGAGCAGCTGACAATCCTCAAAATGAAGTACATTCAAATAAGGTATTTTGTCGTAGTCTGGAATCCATGATCTAACTAGGGACTTTTATTTCTGTCAATGATCATGTTAGCTTTCGACTGTAAAAGTTAAAATCCAACGGTCCACATTTTCAATCCCAGTTGTTTCAAGAATTCACATGTCAATTGTTCAATGCCATCATTGACACATATTCACTTCTAACATGATGAATTCTGCTAGTTACTAATTTTAAATAAAACATCTGAAGTTTTTGTAACCTTCAACTGGTTACTCTCGTGCGATGACTTTTCGGAAGAATAAGTTGCAAAGATTTGTTTGTCTGAAAGCTAGTTTCAATCTGTTATACTTTAAATTTGAACGTTATTCCAAAAAAGTAACAGGTAATTATTAAGAAAATCGAAACTCATTCTGATGTGTGTTAGTAGTCACCCCTCCTCGAAAAGCAAATATAGAATTGGTTTTGTATGTGAGATTTTTCTGGCAAAATATCTCATTGATGTGTATATGACAATTACATCATGTCTCACTACGTTTTTGATTTAAAAAAAAGACAAATTTATCAAACCAGATATTTTCTTAAAATAATTAATCATGTGAGTTTATTCATAATTCTAGATCTAAAGGTTTTCCTTATGAAGTTTGACTAGCAATGAAGAATCGCTATACAATCACGTATATTTACAATCCACCAGTTGATTAATATAGTCCAGTATCATAAAAGTCATGAATTTAAACATGTTTGTTTATAGAGCTTAGAAGGATAATCAAAATTTTTTATCAATAGTAGCTAGAAGTGGTACTCATAAATATGTTTTGCCCTATTTGGAACTCATCGATTGAATGTACCCATATAACGGTATTTATATTTGCCGTTAAATTCGAATGCACTGCCTACCGAGGACACATTTAACTGCTAATGATTGAGTGAAATTGTTACAATCATGTAAATAAACATGAGTCCAAGGGATTTGGTACGACAAGATAAATTCTCAGTTTTGAACACAGATTATACAGATGATGATGTCACATAGCAATATGTTTTGACAGTTTTATCTAAAATTTTACTTACTAATGTATTGCCTTCTTGCTCATGTCCTCGTTATAAATATAAATATATATCAAGAATGGTAAAAGATTTTTTTTCATTTTTCCGAGGTTTTTGTAAATTAATAAAAAATTATGCACAACACAATAAAAAAAATGAAAGAAACTGATTTACTTAAGTAAATAGATAAAGTTTAGACAGCAAAATAACTTTTTCTCAGATGTAAAATTCGTAAGCATCATGATTAATATTGGTGGCCTACTTGAGTATCTGGGCTACCTGTTCCTGTCGTCTAGATATTTCATGAAGTTATCTGTTCTTTGTTTGTTATATTACATCATTATATCTAATAATCGCATAACCTATTCAGATGTGTTCATCATAAGCGTACGATCTTTCACTGTACAAGTTACAAATAAGCTGAATCAAAGAAATTGTGGTTGCTGGCAAGCAATATACAACGAAAAGAATGTACATTATTCAGATATCGATTTTTGAACTGCTGACACTTAACTGACGATCACTCAATATTTATTGTCAGGACCGATTAAGGAATAAGAAAAAGAAACTTGCTGAAATACTTTGTGTTGAGAATCCTATATTGTACCAAAAATATAATATTGAATAAAGCTAATAATAATATTATTATCAGTAGTAGTAATCTTGTTTTTATTATCTCTAGTTAGTTTATTTCTGATAAAATCCCCCAGAATTTACTGGCTTAATATTGTTTTTAGTAAGTATTTTATGAGTTCTGAACTTTATTGGTAACCACATACCAGAGGTACTAAGGATATTATTGTTTATTATGTATTCACTATTGAATTGAAAATGAAGCTTTAACTCTGAATAGTAATTAACAGTATTGATCCGTTGATTCTGGTTAGATCCAAGGAAGATCGAAAGAATATATTAGTGTCACCATACTTGCACTGTAGACATTTCAGTGCTTTAAATATATCATTTTAAAAGCTATTTATTAACGTTTCAGATGAATGTGTGTTAGTTAAATCCATCAAACAACAAAATAACCTAGTATTTAGATACAAAAACCAGAATAAGGGAAATCTTCTCCATATATTTAAGTTATCAATGTTACTACAATAATTTATGTGCAAATATAATTTTACGTCACGTTAATACTTAAAGTTCAGAAATCGTTTCAATGAATTTGGGTTTTATTTCGATCACATATAGTTCAAACAATGGAATGGAATTTTTGATACTACTACTCTTTAGTTTGTTGAATCTATTCAGCTTCAAGGTACAGTACAATATCCATAGGTTACAGTCATAAAATTCCTATTGATTTTCTTATCATATTAAATTCTTCCCCGCTATACTAATAAATACTATAACACTGGTCACCTAAGCCTAGTATACAGCTCTATCTTAAACTTGGAATGCTCAGAGCACTTATCTAATAGTTTATCCTCTTTCATTATTAAAAAAAGCAATTGATATTAGTGAATAAATGTTAGTGTACTTCTATTATAATCTTTGTATACTATTATATTATTATATTAAGGTCAAGAGTAATGAATGATAAAAATGTTAGAAAATGTACTTTGGTTAACGATTATTGTGCTGAATGCTAATGGTAACTGTATTGATTGACTATGTTTTAGAAGAAGAAGTGAAAGTCATCAACGACTACCACATAAATCAAGTATGTTAGAAACTTCATTAATATGATATGCATTAACAAAATGATTTGACTTCAGTTACTCCTTTCAAATTATCACTATCATCTGTTCGTGAATAAAGTTATTTTTCGTAAATTTTATTCCATTCATTTAATCATGAGAGTAGTTTCGGTAAACAAATGTATATTCATAATCTCAACAGTTAATTCTGTGTATATTTTATTGTTTTGTAACATTTACTTAAGAGTGACCACCTAATTTGGTACTGTATAAACTATTCCTGTAAGTAATTACAAGTGATTTGTAACCATCATCTAATACTTAATTTATTTAATCCTAAATATATAATGAAACCTGCTTCCTTCATGTCAGTTCAAACAGTCAGATCATATTGAAAGACCGTAATTAAAGAAGGGTTGTTTTCTGTGTACAATAAGCTGCATTTAACTGCTAAGTTGTATTTACCGAACAATAATGAAAACGAGTTTTTCCCGTGCTTCACATTTTCATATTGTACTAAATGTAAGGGATGAAATTTTTTAGGGTCTTCTGAGAGAAATAACAAACTTATAGAAATTGTCTGTGTGTATTAGATGTAACTCATTATTCATGTATCATTTCTTTGTGTATGTGATTTAGGGGACAGCATTGTTTGCTTGAACGTCAATCATGCTGCTCAGCTGCTTAAATAGGTTTGATGGAGTTTGGTATCTAATAATTAAAAGCTGATCGTTGTAATCACTAAACCTCAGCTTATATAAATATAAGATACTTTAGTTGGCTCATTGTACTGTGTTTATCATAAGTTTGTACGGTTAATTTTAATTGTTCTCCTTTAGTTTTGCATCTTAAATGATAAGATTAATAGGATTCTCATATTTCTAATCAGGCTCGACAACTGAATACTAGTAAAGGGACTTAAATAATGAAAACTTCAATTTATAATCAATAATTCTTCTCTTTCAATAAACGAGTTACTTGTTTGAATGTGATTTAAGGAATCGTTCCTCTTGGCTACAAAATATATGTATGTTAAAGAATTATCAACCATAGTTAGTTAAAGTGTCTGGCATAAACTTTTGAATTCATACTAATTTCACGAATAGAGTAGGTCTGAAGTGTTCAGACTAAAAACAAATAGCTGAAGACAATAGGTGAATGGTTGCTCAACTTCGTGGATCAGTTGAAGTTAGACATTAACACCGTTGGATGCCAGCTCAGTGGTCTATCGGTTAAGGGCTTCGGCTCGAGACTGGTAGGTCCTCGGTTCGAAACTCGCAAGAGCGGGTTCGTGGATGCACACTGCTGAGGAGTCCCATAATAGGACGAAAGGACCGTCCAGTGTTTCCAGGTTTTCGATGGTGGTCTAGCTTCAATTGACTCACGCTTTCAACTATGGAAAATAGCTTAATTTCTATATAATATTTCGGTAAACAAAAAGAAATTTTCGAGTATTCATTATAATGAGTCATTCTTTCACTATGTACATTTCTGTTTTGTTTCTTCATGATTGACATTCATGGAGGAATTATTTAAGCCAAAAGCAATAACAACACGAAGAAGAAGAAGAATGAAACAGCTGTTCATCTATTTATTTATACTGCATTATATTATTTAGTAATATTATTGATTTTCATTCCGTTTGCAAACTTACACCCCAACAATTAGTGTCATTCACTTGTTAGATTAGAAACAGGAATTTTTAAACATATGAACTTTTGACTAAGCACACATACCTGAACACATTCATATCTTTTTTTAAAATAAAGCCCCATTTAGTTTAATATATTATTTCATATAGGTTGAGTGATTGAAGAACTTGGATAAGTTTTCATTATACGTGTAATTAAAATGAATGATAATGGATTATTGAGGAGTCACAAATTGTATGGACATAGTGGTTTCTTTTTATCATTTAAAATGAAAATCCTCAGTACATTTTGATATGGTGTATGGTGACATATATATATCTTCTTTTCACTCTCGTTATCTACTATTCAAAATAATAAATCTACACTTAATTTTTAAAATATTTTTGTGTATTTAATAAAACATATCATTCATTTACAAATTGTGATTCACTCGATTCCCCTCATTCTTTCTCTCTCTGTCTCTAGCTTCATTCGACTACACACTCAAACACATGTACACATAGTCAAACATGTACTTTGCGTATTTGCATCTCTTTACATTCTACTCCTGTATGCTAGTAGGTACACACACACACACTACCTTGTTACATACAAAAGCAATATACATTTAAGACCTTTTTTCACCATTTTTTTTCTACCTCATTTAGCATTCCATATATTTTTTTTCCTGTCTAACTATTTATCTATTTAGCGATTTAGTTAAAGAAAAATCGATTAAAAGAATACACCAAATATTCTATTTAAATGAAAAAAAAGATCATTGTGGGAAATGTTTTATCTATATCAGTAATCTAAATTTTAAATGGGAATTATAGAAGTTATTTTTCATTGGACTTTGTTTAACACTTGGAATTTTGAAGTTTTAAAGTTTTGAAAGTAGACTGAAATGGGAGGTAACAAAACTGCCTATACGTCTTACTTGATTGGATTTGAGATTACGCACAAGATTACACCACTTGGTTATATCCAAGGCTCATTTTTTATTCTGTATCATTCTTACCATCTAATGAACTAGTTTTCTTTTTCATGAATTGTTAATGGATCAATATATTTTTAAGAATTTCGTACTTCATGGATAGACTCGTTTGCTCTTTTTTATTGAAAATTTAATAATCTTTAAACTCATTAAGTCACATCATTATTTCTTTGGTAGTTTCGTTTCATAGCTTTTTCTCAGATTGACACTCAGCAATCGTCAATTCAAGTAATCTGGAGGTATGCCTGAGGTTAGGAACTTTGTTGTATAATCTACATCACAAAGTGACCATAATTACACAATAATTTATAACTTGAAAACATCGGATAGCTATTTCGTCTTGGAATGAGATTCCTTGACAGTGTCTATCGAAAACCCTATTCGGGATCGGACGTAATATCTAAAGAACTCTGATCTGGGATCTATGATTTCACAAATCCAACTTCAATCAATTCACAACATTGAATGACCAAATTTTATTGCTGTTGATGAGTACCCGCATAACACTTTACATGGTTGGATACAACTAGTCACGGCTTTTATGTAGAATAGCTTTCGAATGTCTCTCTACTTCCACTGCTTACGGAACTGAAACTGGTCCTTGGTATAAACTGTGAAGCTCAACACTCTCCCCGAAATACCCACAGTACTTATTTGATTTGCAATGGATGGCTAACAATTCAGGTATAGATTAAAATAAAGTACCTAGGAGAAGTTTGTAGTCAGATATGAAATAAAACCTTGTTGATAAAATGCACTGTTTAATATTGATCTGAATGATTAGAGGACTTGTAGGGTGACGAATGTCTGTTAATGATATTAGATTGTAGATACAGTGGATCTCTAATTTACCTGATTATCAAAAAGAAGAAATTTATTCTAACTCATCAACTCATATATCTTCTGCTACACCTCTTACAGGAGGTGCTACCTGCTTTTCACTGATTTATTTGCTTACAATATAAACTGTCCTCATTTCAATCTTAAGAAACCACGCTAGTTGATATTTTGAACAATTCACTGGAGTAATTCAACATATATAGTAAGCGATTCTAAGTATTAGGCCATATTTATCAGTAAAATGAACCTACACCATGAATATATACTGAATATCCCATGCGTCTATGCAAGGGCGAACCGACAAACCAGCACAGATTATAATAGCATTACAAATAAACCAAAATGCACGAAAGTATTCTGACTGAAGTTAAAGAAAACACCGGAGTCCGTTATTCCAACGTGGTAACCTTAAGGTATTCCACTAACCTCTATACTGGGAAATCTTAGGGTCGACCTTGTGTTTGGTCATGTGTGCGTATCACTGAGATGTTCGAAATGGGAACAAAACAGGCAGTTATTGATGAACACAATATGGAATCGAATTAAAAATCGTATGCCAAATAATAGATAAAAGTTTTTTATTTATGTATTAACTGTAAAAAAAACAATTGAATACTCATTTTCAAATTGAATACAGAACACAAACACTAAGAGCTATTTATTGGCAGGTATCTAATTTATCACATTTCTAATCCATTTTGTCTATCTTTGTTTTGGTAAAGCCTCTTAAGATGATTAAAACAGATGAATTTGTTTTACATTCAATTTGTTTATTACTATACAATCTTTTGTCAGTAAATGCAAAAATTGAAGGTATTATTGGATCACAACTCATGATGTAAATCTTACGTTCTTCTGAAAGTAGATAGTTGCATAATTATCAGTTTGATGAACTCCTGTTTGAATGTTCAAGCAGTGATATATGGTTTCTTTTTTTATCACTAATCGAAACAACGGTCTATTAGAAACAAACATGCATTGAAGTGGTTTTCCATCCTAGTTCAAACTTTTCCGTAATGTGCATCTACGATTTAATCAAATAACTGAAGTCTAGATCATCCATATTTCCCTACAATGAGCGTTATCCATAAATGTTTGAGATAGAATCTGTCATTTTACATTCTCAGTCTCAATAAGTGCATATTAAGTAATATAACAATCACTCAATATCATTGGTGATACTTGTCTAACTCTACAATAATTTTGTTTTTTCTTATTTATAAAAAAACTGATTACGGATTTTAATGAAAATTTATTCAGTTTCCTCTTGTTTATATTTTAATACTTATTTAGAATCTAACTAAACAGGATAACTGCAAAAGTCCTATCACAGAGACAAATGGACGTCATTCAACTCAAAGAAAATTCACAGAATCGCCATGGGGACCAATATCAGTTCAACAAGCAAAAAAATTAACAAAAGATTACGACCAATGCCCAAAAGTTCTTGGTCAAAACAATAACAATCGCAAAAGCAATCACCTTATAACAAATGATAATTATTTTAAATGGCTAAAATCTTCAAAATCTTCAATGAGTAATAATAATTTAGATAAATTGAATGAGTCTATTTATCAAACTAATGATGTAACTGATAAAAAGTCTAATTTGTCAAATGAACGATATTTTAGTCAACTAACTTTACCAATATATTCAACTTTTTCCAGTACCAAATCACATACAGTTTATTTGAATACATCCAGAGAATTTAATGTTTCCGAGGGTAATTCAAACAAATTCACCACAACCAAAGGTATTCAATCTTTGTTTAAACTACCATTCAAAAGAAAAGCAAGTACACCTGGACCAAATATTCAATCTATAAATAATCCGTTAAAATCTCATGGACGTTCAGCTAGTTTAGCTCAGCTTCATACGTCGAATGAAAATCCGTCTATTATGTCTAAATCAAATGATCAGTTGAATAAAAGTACCAATAAATTAAACGTACCATATATTAAACCTTTACTACTTAAAGAATTATCAAAAATTTGAAATTTAGAAACCACTGAAGTGACCATATTTTTATTAAAAATCGAAAAAAAAGAAGAATCCTTAAAAATCTTAATAAATTGTGACTTCCTCCTTCATGTTCTTCATTCGGTTTATTTCTATTAATAAATATTTTGTGCGTAAGAATATAATCAATAAAACTATTTTTCAAAGTAAATCAATGTGCGTAAAAATAATGTTTTTCATTAAAACATTTTGATTGCCTGGTAAAAATGTTTGTAACCATACCTATACTCATTTGTTGTTAGGACAAAGTTATTATGGAATTCATCGGTATCGGACAACAGATTTTGTTCTGCTATTGATGTATCTGACTATCTTATATGGTATTTAGAGAACTTTAAGTAATCAATAGACTAGAATCAATCGAATGAATTTATCTGTTGTTATGTGATGTAATTCACTAATATTTTAAGAGTGGTACAAATTTTTAACAGTTTGCTAACATCTATCTGATGTTAGTTTATTTACTATAGATGTTGTAGCTACTTATTAGTAGCTCAGTGTTCATTGTAAAATATTTTATATATAAATAAATACATATATAAATTATAACCACCAAACATACGCAGTGTCAATTTACTGAGAACGTTTACGTAATTGGTTAGACTATAAGGACAAAGATTACTTGTTCATATCGTTAGACCTTACGACAAATAGTTGAGAAATAATAATATTCTTTTATTTTATTCAGTAAATATGTCCCTAAAGTATTCACTAGTTGGAGATAAAAAGATCCAAGATTGTTCATCCTACAGATGACATTACGTCTTATTGATATTAGATTCGAAACTGCTTAACTAGACCATTAAGTGGAATTAATTCACATGATTGCTTATGTAACAGACAACGTGAGTATATAGCACCACATTACCGGTCGGTGTGTTTTTACGGTCCTATAACAGCATTTCGAAGTATCCTCAACTCCATGAAACAATTAGCTTGAATTGAGAAGCTTTTTTATTAAAGAAGGTAACAAGTTAGTTGGGGGACATTTATATCGTTTAATAATTCAGTAAAAATTATTGCAGCTAAGTTAATATTGGTAGATTTTAATTGTGTAAATAAAAAATCTATGCATACACTATCCTCAATACAAAAAGTACTTTATAGCAATTAGGTCTTAATTGTGATTTTTTAGTTGTTTAAAGGTTTTACAAATAATTAGGAAATCAGTGATGTCAAGGATGTTGAAGCCTTGATACCATTATTCTTGTTCAGTTATGCAAACGTTCCACTTTTAGTGTCATGATTTCTATATTTGTATCTCTCCTTTTAGCTAGAGTTTTGTCTAGTGTTTACAGTTCGTGATTTTAGTTCAAGGTCAGTGAAAATATTTAACGAAAATACTAAGGACATTTATTTTTATTTTAGATAGTCGTAATTAACGATGTTGCCAAATAACCTTTATTGTACCAGTGACTGACACTTGTTACAATGTTTGGGTGAAACTGATTATCATGTCATCACTTATTCATTTGTTGCAGTTTATCAACTAGAAATACTTAATTATGTTGTATTTCTTTCTCTATTTGAACGTAGATACTCCAGTCGCAACAAATACTGTTATTGAAATATAGTTTTTAACGGGACAATTAAAATTTTTCACCGAGTTAATTAGTGAAATAATCATATAGATTGTGACCGTTAACTTGGAGAACTACGAAGCCATTATCCAGAAAGTACAAGTTTTTATAAACAGTTGTTTACGCAAAATACTCAACATTCACTGGCCGGATACTATCAGTAGCAGCGTTTTATGGGAGAGGACAAATCAGCTTCCAGCTGAAGAGAAAATTCAGAAGAGACTCTAGAAGTGGATAGGACACATATTGAGGAAATCGAGGCAAGCCCTAACTTGGAATCCGGAAGGGAAGCGGAAAAGAGGAAGGCGAAAGATCACAATACGCCGCAAAATGGAAGTAGATATGAAGAGTATGAATAACAACTGGAAATAACTGGAAAGGATTGCCCAGAACAGAGTGGGATGGAGAATGTTGGTGGGTAATCTATGCTCCTCCGCGAGGGGTAACAGGTGTAAGTAAGTAATGTGACAGCTAAAGATTTTACTGGGATTATGTTCTTTGGGTTAGGCAGAATAACTGCATAGCTTTTGTTTTCGTCATATGGAAAAGGTTAGTCAACCTTATGTTCAGAACTCAATACAAAAGGCTGACCGGCATGAATGCAAAAACAAAAGAACACGACAAAGCTCACAACGACAACCAATCACAACGACTAACTTGACATTTACGGAATAACTGAAAGGCTTACATCATTTGAAATAGGAGCTAATAATGTTTTCCAGAGCACCGATTAATATTCTACAATTAATATGTCTATGTCAGATGGCTCAACAATAATAACAAACATTTACTTGGGCTTCAAATCCCCATCATTTCAAGAAGTATTTTCTCCCCTATTTTATATAAGCATGGAATGAGAAAGGCATAAATATAAATAGTTAGTTGACCGACTCATTTTATTTAAATTACACAATAATGTGAAAATTTCTTATTTTCTGTATTGTGTAATTTATCTCGGTTTTGCTTATATGATGGGATGAATGAACTTGCATTGTTAAAAGATAATGTATCCATAAATATTTCCTTTCTAATTTAAATTTCGGTCGAATCACTTAACAGAGAAGCAATGAGGAAGAAATTAATATGATCATAGCAGAACTGATTTTGTTGTTTTCAGTTTATTCATAAGTTTATTAGTATTCAAGTATAACCAACAGTAATTTGAAAGTAATATTCTACTTGGAATGATTTCTGAGTTTTTCATTTAAATTGGGACTTTAGTTACTGGGGTCCTAGAAAGATTTACAACGGAAATTTTAGCAAAATTCATTTTGGAAATGATATCCTGTTTAAGACAAAAGAAAGTTCTAAGTGAATCACTGGAAGGCTCGTTAGTGAAACACATCTATCAATAAATTTTGTTTAAAAATGAAACTATACATGCAGGCTATTTTCACTTTTGACCAATTTAATTGATCCCTAAGTAGTAAATGATGTTATGTTTCTCATGTCCTTAGAGTTGACTATATTCTATCAATCAGTTAGGAACTTTTGAACTAGTTTAATTGACTTGAGTTCCTGTGAAATATGTTTTGATATAAAGTGATTGAGGATAATTGAATGCACTTCAATTTTTTTCCTAGATTTCCTTCAAGGTTTCAGATACAAATAGTTGACATGTGTCAACCAGGATAAAACCAGATTTTCTTATCGATTTCGATTTTAGTCCGTGAACGTTTGTATGTGTTAAAGATGGTGGATTCATGTTTCAATGGTAAAGATGGTATATTCAAAACATGTTCTGAAGAATACCATATATTTTGTGTAGGACCAGGGACTTGTAGGGTGCTTTTTTAATCTGATTAATTGTAAAAAATACCCTTATTTAAATCAAATATTAATTTAATTATTACTTAAAGTATAGATTAACTGAAAGTTATGGAAATGTCTGACGTTCCATTTGAATGGAATAGTGGAAAAAACTTAAAAGTTCATCTTATTCCATAATTCCTATAACACTTAGATTAAATTGAATCTTTTTCAACGAATCTAGTTTTTAGTAAGCAGAGATGGATAGTGGCTAGCAGTGGAATCCAGGACGCGCGTTTCGTCCTATTTGGGACTCGTCAGCTGGATGTACCTGCATCTGAGTTGATGTTCACTCTGGGACTCGAACTCAATACCCTTGCTTCAAACGCCATCGCGTTATCCACTCGGCTAGTTTTTTTTCATTATTGGATTATCGTTCTTGCAAATCACTAGTAACTAATACCACCCGATGGTTAATAACTGTGTTATCCTATAAAAATGAATGAGAAAACTGGTGTTCATTTCACAAAAGTGTATGTTTATCATAATCACCATCAGATATTGAATTTCAGATAGTAACAAGTAGTGTATTATGATATAACTGTAGTGTCCTATTAACTGATGATGATTTACCGTGAAAGAGTGAAAATGTTTACGATACATTTATAACTATGTTTTCAGACTAGTGTATTATTTAAATTTGTCTGAATGTAGTGGTTAGCGATAGCAGATCAGTGTGTTAATCACCGATCAAGTGATTGTAATATGGGATTTTTTCATGATATCAGTTGTTTCCCCATTGCTTATGTCTTACGTCTTATTACCGATTGATCGATTGATACGCTTTAATATCACAATTATAAACTTACGTGGAAACTAACTTCATGTGTTCTATAAAAACGGTTGTCAACCAACGAACATTAAGCAAAATGCGCCACATTGTCGACCGAATAACATTATATTGTATCTTATAACTTACAATTCATTCCAATTACCTCCAAGGTTTAAATATAAGTTTACATTTAGTAATCAGCAAGTGTGCTATTTAATATCAAAATTAAAAATCAATGTCCTAGTTGTAACCAATCCAGAGTAAATGATCACCCATATCTTTTGGTGTTGATGTCTTCTCACCAAAAATATGCAGATTCAACTGTCAAAGATATTGGTTAAAAATTCTGTTACAAAAAATGTCTTAGTTAAAGATGTGTTGAAAAGTATCAGCTTATTATGTGCCACTAAGAGTAGGTAGAACCTTCTATATAACAATCAAGCAAAGATGATAAATTCAATGGTATTTCTTACAAAATCAAAGTCAAAAATTCTTCTGACATTCGAATTATGTCTCAGTAGATGCAGATAAATATGAATACCATAAATCCGTAAATCTAGATCAGCCTTTTATAAAAATTCTATTGAGACAAAAAGAGCAAACTATATTGCATTTCATTTATGCTGAAAATTTTAATCTCACTTTAATCCTTCAAGATTCTTGTACAATTACCTACCCGTAGAATGAAAAAGTCTTAATAAGTTATTATGCAAAACTCTAAAACCCAGGCACCGGAAAATAATATCGATCGATTCAGGAAAATATCAACCATGAAACAATTTACATATTTGATTTACATTAATAAAATAACACTCTTCGAGTGTCTCACATAGCTGAAGCCATCGCAATCCATATTCACAAACCGAACCTTTGTATCCAAAAGAAATTTACATATCATTGATCTTCAGTACAGGCGTAGAAATTCATTTACGATTATATGTTTTCCACAGAGAACTGTTAATAAAATTAAGCTTTAACTCACTGAATTGGGTTTATTAACGTTAACTAATATATGTATAAAATACATGTATAATGAAAAAGTAAATAATACATAAACGACCTACTTGTGTGCCCTTTTTTTCATGGTAATGATAATTCAGTATGTGGTCACCTTAATGATTAGAAATTTATGAAGTCAATTTCTTTGCATACAAGTAGCATGTATCAGAAAAACCAGATGTTCTCATTATTTTTAGAAAAAAAATAGAACACTTTATTTAAGGAGATACAACAAGATTATCATACATTAAAATCATGTTTGCAGTATCACAAGGTCCGATAGAAACAAAGAACATAGTGAAAAATATCAGTAAATTAATGAAATATAAATAATAATAAAGTCGACATCCGGTTAGTAACTAACCTTAATAAATTGGAATAGTTATATATATAAGGCTATTTCTATAGAAATTATCATCTTAAAACCATCAGTTAAGTAATATCACGGGTAATGATTGAATAGTAAAACTGTGTGAAAATCAATGTATTGGTCAAAATATATGGCATGGATTTAAACCATAAATTGATGACCAACGTAAAGATAGTTCAGATTAAGGATGTCACTGACCAAATAGTCGTAACAAAGTGGACAATGAAACAATTCTAGGACAATAATGTACTTTATTATTATTTAATCTTTAGGCCTAAAACTAGGCCACCGTAATAAAATAAAATTTCATTTTTATGGTAAAACAACGTTTACTATAAATAAGGTTTAGTATTTAAATTGCAATTCACTCATCCATTTGGCTAAATAGCGTTTTGACATTTTAGCTGATGTCAGTTCATGATGTAAAACCTAAATCTAATGCTTAACCCTAACCATTAACTGTAAATCATAATCTTAATTCCTCACACTAGTTTATAACCCTCATTTAGCCCTAGTAAGTAAGTGAACATTCTCAAGATCACTTTAGCGTCACTCAAATGTCATCCATAAAGTATAATCTCACCGAACTCGCTAGATGGATATTCGTCCAATGCAGTGTTGACATTTTTGCTGAAACTTGAAATGAATCCCTGTCGTCTCAAACTTCATAGTGTTCCTTGATTTGAGCGAACTACTGTTAGTTATTAAAGTTTACTAATTTTCTATTTCTAATATTCCATCCTTTGTTGAATCAGTCTCTGTTGGAATATAAACTACTAGATAAGGTGAACGTTTCATATGTTTTGGTACTAGTCATATATATATATATGAGTTGGTTTTCGAAAGTACTATTACAAGTCTAAGTATATGCTTACTAACGACTTTAAATTATTTGAACAAATGAATACGGATTCCTAAATATTAATTAGATAAATATTAATTCAGTGGTAAAATCCGTTCTGAAATTCACAATGCAAGATAAAAGTACTCATCGATTACAATGCTTCTACTGTAGTGGGCGCTACTCACAAGATTATTTATAATTAGTGTGTAGCGGAATGTAACATCGAAGTTGCTATAATTGTCAGACGAAGCAAAGAGCTTCATTGTATTGAAGGTACAGAGTTGGCAGAACACTTGGAAACCATACTAGAAGACAATGCGGATGGCAGAACAAAT